GTTCTGAGGAATGGTCACCGGACCCGAAACGTTAACTCTGTTTTCTCCTTCACAGATGCTGCCAGACCTGCTGAGCTTTTCCAGCAATTTTGTTTTTGTTCCATGTTAAAATAGACCCCATCTACATGCCACTATGGTACAAAACCAGAAAAATGACTGCCCAGACCATATAAATTCAGAATGGGACAGAACAACAGTGCTTCAATGGGGGCTACACAGCACTGATGATGTCACCTAGAAGGGAGATGAAATATTTGCACGCGAACCAACCAACAACTCCAGTTGATCTAGCCCTTGTCAGATAGTTGCACATCTCTACTTTGCAATTTTGCCTGATCAACAACACTTGTTGAGAGAGTCAGTACATCTTATACTACACTCTAACACTTCATGGCAATCATCTCACTACTACACTAACCAGCATGTGCTATACTAAAAGAAAACATACCTCTTCAATACATTCCACAGCACAATCCTCATCCACCACCTCTGACTGACTGACATGGCAGCACTGTGCAGGTTGTTCCTCCTTTTCTGGATATTCCATTGCAGACGGAGTGCCTTTTCCATTTGTTAATGGCACCTCTCCTTCAACAGATGTTTGTAACTCTTCCTCACAGTTGCTATCATTATTCTGTGACAGTATATCAGTTTGGGAGGAGTTCTGGTTTCCACAGCTGTTTTGAGAATGTTTTGCAGAACTTGATGCAGGAGTGAAGCCAAGTGAAGGAAAAACAGGGCTACTTGCATCTTGTTCACTCTGGTGGACCCTCCCTACCTGTGGAGTACAGGAAGGTGTTGACAGCAGAACACTGGAAGATAGTTTATAGTTAGATGCAGTTTTTGGTGTTTTCTGACCAGAAGGACAAATGACATCATCTGATGCTGGTTTCTCTGCGGTCCTGTTGATTTCCTTGCAATCCAAACTCTCTAGGTGAAAAACATATGTATATTAATGGATTTGATACAAGATCACTATCAACTTATATTCAGTTTTAAAATGGATGACTGGTATATATTTTCTAACAATTCATTATAGAACATCATTGGCAAGGGTCCTTTTCACAGAGTGGGGGTCCAAGATTTAAATCTCCTAGGTAAGCATTTATTGTCTATCCTCAGATGCTCTAAAAATGTGTTAAGGCACTTTCCTGACCTCCTGCAGCCCTAGTGATGAATATACTCTCAAAGGGAACGTACGGAGGGAGTTCCAAGATCTTGTCCAGTGTTGGTGAAGAAGCAATGATACACTTCTATACAGAAAAATCAAATGTCACACATATATGGCAACAATCAAAAATAAAAGAATCTCAATTACATAAATTTTCATTACAACAACAATAAATTTGTCATTTATCTTCTGTTCACCAATCCATGAGTATTATAAACATACACGGAACAGACTGCCCCACCAAGCAGCATTACTAGCAGGCACATCGTCAGTCATTGGAGAACTGCAGTTCAGCCTGCTCATTCACACAGAATATCTCTACCACTATTACAGGTCAAATGCATGCACTTTACAGTTATATGCATAAAGATTTGTACTGTAAGGGTGTGACTTATAAATAGCTTATTTACACAAGCTCTAACAGCAAGAGAAGTCTGCGTTATGAAGTAGTACGTGTCCTAACTCTGTCAAAGTATATTGGTTAATAATGATAAATAATTTAAGGGAAAATAAATATTGGGCATTTAACAAAAAACATAACTGATGTATTTTCAAGAATATTGAGATCCATTGTTTATGGGAATGACTGGGCCATCTTACTTTGTAGGTGGAGTTCTTCAAAGTTTTCTACAGCTTGTTTGCTGTTCTGTGAATGTGGGCTGTCACATTTCCCCATATCCCCATTCTCAGTTTTCACCTGTGTTTCCATAGCACAGTTAAACATATTATGCTGGGATGGAAGAAGCAATTTCCTCAATGACTCTGCTCTTAATTTCTCTTTAAGTTGACCGTATTCTTCATCGGGGAGGTCGAAATCCTGGACCTCCAGACTGTGAAATAGCTTTTTGACAACAGGCTTTTTGACAGAGAGTAACGGTTCCGAGCATGTCAGGGTTCCCTCTTCAAGTCCTGTGTTAAGCTTCCTCAAGCCAGCACGTGTTCTGCGATAAGAGTTACCTATTGGGCAAACACAAGTTGTATTACATCAGCACTTGCAAATGCATATGGAAATTGACAGGCAGGAAAAGGCCAAGCAGTCCACCAAGATTGCCCCACAATCACAATTTAACCACACTGAAGGTTCCATAATCACAGAAGTTCAGTAAATCATTAAATGGGCAGTGTAAATATACAGGTCAGAGCTAATCACTATTGCCCAAGTTTTTATTTAATTCTACTTTAATTCTACATCTATGGTGCAGATGAGATGAGGACACCAGGATCCCTTTAACGTTAAACTGCTCCACAAAACAGAGGTCTTTTATGTTATCTATTACAGAACAGCGGATATCTCCAGTATCTGATCATTTAGATTTTCATCCCACTGTTGTAAAAACCATAAACTTCTCACAATTGTTATAGTTCTTAATAAGTTAGCATAATCAGACTTATTGCTCTTTGATTAAAGATAAGGCTAAACAAAACATGTTTTTCCTTGAATATTAAGTCGTACACCCAAGATCACTGCAATTTCTCTGGTCACGAAGCCCAACTCTTACAACAGTGACTACTGTAATACATGTCACAAATTACAACTATTGACTGTGAAGCATCAAGACCTCCTTAGAGATTGTAAAAAAAGGTGCTTGTGAAGTGCAACCTCTTTCCTTCTCCTAAATAAAGGCTAATACACACTATCCACTCTGTAAGGTCAGAATTAATCAGGAGACCTGCTGTCACACCTTTTAAAATACAATAATGGAAATCTACTTTGAGCTTACCTTTTGACAGCCTCACCCTCCTTTTGGGCTGAGACACTTGGCATAAAGATTCCTCAGTGTATGAATCAATTCCCAATGGTAAAGACTGTCTTGTACGTCTGAAACTCTTCTTCCTTGCTGTGCTAAAAAAGGAATCTTGCTGAGTCTCTGGGATCAGTTCCTGACTGTCAGTAGCACTATTTAAGCCTGAATGATGCTCTGACAGAGTGAGTATAGACTCCTCGTTTACAGTTGACGGATCAATTGAATTCTCTTTGAAAGGTCCTACTAACATATCACTGGTCTGGCTTTCAGAGTTCTGTAATGATTCCACGATATGCTCAGAATCATTCTGAGAGAGATTGGAACTCTTGACAGTAAAGTTAGTAATATTTGAAAAACTACGAGCACCCAACTTATTAACAGCACTTCCACATAATTCATTCACATCGGACACTGACTGACAAGAGTTACTTTCATTCTCCTTGCTCTCTCTCTCCTTTTGAACTTCAGAAGTCATAGCACACTGAATATCATCAGGAAGTCTGTGGTTATTCAAAGTCCACTCTACAAGCTCATCTTTAAACAGTTCAGTATCAGTGAGCTTGGATTTTGTGGATTCTTCTCTATCACTTTTTCTCTCTCTTTCTGGGCTTGCTTTAATGTTCTGAGAATCAATACCAATATTCGAGGGGCACAGTGAGTCCAGCTGTGAAGTATCTGCATCAGATACAGCAATACCATCCTCCTGACTGTTAAAAAGTAACAATGTGTTGCTGAGCTCTCCCTCAGCCTTGGGAAAGCCTTTTACAGGATTGCTCTGGTCACGTGTCAATTTCCTAGACCTTCCCTTACCACCATTTCTGCATTTTCCCAAGTGGCTGTGAATCACTGCATCCAGATCCACTTGTCGCCGACAGTTGGTCATGCGTCGAGTTGTTCGTACATAGTACTCAACAGGGAAGAGAAGGCCCTCGACAAGGGTACAAGAGTTCAGTGGGGTCTCTTCTGAAGCTTCAGCTACAGCAGTACTTTCCTGAAGACAATCTGGATTTAACACTACTGACTTATTTGCAAGATTGCTCTCAGAAGCTTCAAAGAGATCCTCAGAGCAGTTTTGCTTTGCTTGCTGTTGTTGGGCATCTTCAGTCAGGACCTTGAAGTCTCTTGAACTGAAAGCTTTATTTTCACAAGCAGACACTCCTGTAGTCTTATCACCAGAACTGCAGTAAACCGAGCCATTCACAGTTCTGCCCAAGGGTAAGGTCAAACAATCGTCTTCCACCTCCTGCACTCCATTTTTGAATGATTTAAAGTGTTCTTTACCTTGAGGAGAACCCAGGAATATTCTATGCTCCACATTCTCCTTTACATCCCCATATACTGATTTAGTGGCATTTGTATCTCTGTCAAAGTTGTAAGATCTTACAGGCTCTTTGTTAACAGGTGAATCCAGTTCCTCTATTTCTTTATCACAGGATTTTCCATCAGCAGCTAGAAAGTCATTCTGCTCACTGGCTGCTTCCTTTCTCAGCATTTCACATGACCTCTTTTTTTTCAGCTTCAGACGACTGTGAACTTGACTGCTTGTCTTTGCATTGGGGATCGTTTGCACAACTGGGGAAAGGGTGGGATCTGTTGAAGGGTCTTCAGCTCTTTCAAATGTGCTTGCCAAAGCCACATTTGGGCTACTGATTACTTCTATGATTTCCGGTTCAAGATTAAACGTCACGGCTGATCTTTTCTCTTTGCTTTCTTCTACTGGGACTCGGTTTCGCTGACATGAAGAGCTTGACTGACGTGTATCCAAAAATGATGAGGCCTCACCTTTATAAAAACAAAAAGAGATTCAAGAAATACATTAGGGCCTGAATTTATTTTTGTTGTGGGAGGGGGAGAAAAGAGGAGGCAGCTAGATACACAATCTGAATACAACGGCAAGCAGCGCCAAGATATATTTTTGACAGCACTGATGTAACCACTATAAATTTACCAAAAAGAAAAAAGGCTTGAGGAATCATAGAATCCCTATGGTGTGGGAAGAGGCCATTCGGCCCATCAAGTACACATCTCCTCCTATTCCTGGGTGAGCAATCTGCTAAGGTGGTTCATCTTATATGAGATGACTCATACCAGTGCCATTTACAAATCACTTGGTGACAACAGAGAGCAAGTTAACTTGCAAATGTCACTCGCACAGAATGCAAGCATTGCCCAGTGAGACGTCATCTGACAGGTTCCATTTCCTATTGGAAACCCCACCACTGAGGCCACTATGATTGAGAAGAAGTCAAGTGATCCATCGTAAAGTTTAAGTCATTTGCTGAAAACCTACCAGACTTCAACTGAGTTATGCTCTGCTCTTCCAACAGTTGATTCTGGTGCATTATGGTGCTTTTAACATGATTCCGCACCCGTTCAGCTTTTTGTGCACGCTAGTGGCAGAAAATGAAGGAAAAAAAAGAGAGTTTAATATCAGACTGGCCAACATAAAGTCAGCAAGAGGGATGCCTTGATTACGGGTTCCAATTCTTTAGTGGGGCTTAAACCTACAGCCTCTAACACAGAAGTACATGTCATATCCAAAAGGTTTCTATTTCACCACAGGCTTAATGTATGTTCAGTGCTTTAACTAGAGCTTGATTACAATACCACACCCACTGCCTAACATGATACACTGCTTGACATGATATATTGTAATTAAATCCCAAATCATCTTAGTGTAAAGATTTCTCCTCCTCAGCCACATCAATAGAAAACCACTTGTCTATCTTGACTATTTAGATAGTTATTGAAAATGTTCAACGTATACAACAGGTATCATCTGGACTGATATTTCATCTTTGGAACACTGATTGCACTTCAAATGACTAGTCTCTCTTCTCAACGGCCAAGCTACCAGAATGAAGAACCCAAACCAGAATATCAACTATTATGCTTATTCCAGCCTAACCTATTGTACATTTTCACTTTTTAGTTTCTATTCACTTTTCTTTAGTTAAGTACTTTATGAGCTGTAAAACACATTGAGGTGTCCTGAGCTGCTGAAAGCCTTTAAATTTATTGGCTTCTCTACCTCCCAAGGAAGATGAGAACTGTTGAATTAACAAAAGGCTCTGCTCCATCACATTCACCTTGTCATCATTGAAGTTGCATGATATAAAAGTACTTGAATTACTGACGAATCGAAGCATTCTGTCTCTATCAATTAGCCGACGGAACTTTGGGATTCACAGGCATCTGTTCCGCTAAAGTCATATAGCACCCTTACGTCTGATAGGTCTCAAGGATAAGTGTGATGTTGAGAAGGGGACATTTACCTGTAACTTATGGACTGTTTTTGCGTATTCTTTCTTCAACAAGGCCAGCCTTTCTTTGAGCTGTAAACGAAATGATTATATAATGTTTATATAATTTCCGCTGTGGTTAAGACGTTGTGAATTTGACAGCATTGGCTTTGTTTTACCTGCTCCCTGGTTTCCCAGCTCAGGGGTTTTTTCACAGTATGCTCCATTGTGCCCAGAGGAAGGCTTATTAACTCTTCCTCCGAGTGTTAGTGAAGCTGAGGGAAGGAGACACCGATGCTTCACTCCAGACGGGCTGAACTGAGCGGGGGGAGGCGGCTAACGGACTATCAATCCCCCCGCCAATTCTAACCAATCAGAGCACAGGCTCCCAATTTGTCCCGCCTTCCCTGTTAGCTGATTGGAGAAACGGCAGGGCACGCCTAGACGCTATTGGTCATTCCCAACCTCAATCATTAAAGGTCCCGGCGCTTCTACGACTTAAAATAATATTTTTGAACAGCGTAACATCTCTGAACAGTGTGATTAGAAAAATAGTTTAAATATTGCCCATTATTCGGGGATGTCAGTTCAACGAAGGGGAATTAAACACAGTGGACTGTTTATTTTCATTCCGGCCTTTCCCTCGGTGTCTATTTGCCCCCGGAAGTGCTCATTGTGTTTCCGGCTGAAACGGGGAGCGGTTGCTGCGACAACGGACTGAGGATGGAGCTGTGTGAGATCCTGTATAACAAGGCGGAATATATCGAGACGGTGAGAATCTCATGGTGTTGCGGGTGTTCTTTTCTGTTCTCTGGGATGGGCAGGGAGTGTTTACTACCAGCGGAGCTGCCTTTTGGATCAGATCTTAAACCGACACCCTATCTGTCTGTTTCGGTGGATGTGACATATCCCATGGTGCTAACACGGAAAAGGGGAGTTATCCCTGGTGATAATTGGCTGCAGCATTTCCCACGTTACAGTGGTGTCTTCAAAATTATTTCAGTGGCTGTACCGTGCTTTGCAACGTCCTGAGTTTATGAAGAATTTTCTATTAATGCAAGTTCTTTGTTTACTGGGTGTCCAGTTAGGAAGGGCTTAAGTATGGTAAATGCTGCGCTGACTCTTGCTACAGTATTTCACGTCAAATGTCAGTCAGTGAGATGCAGGGTGAAGGTGCCTTTGCACGATCCTATACTTAAAAATCACCTTTTATCATTGCACTAATGTACTAAGTTTTCTTGTCTGATTGATGTTACTCACAGAACTGGATTGAAACCTCTCCGACGTAGTTTCTGTAGGTTCAATGTAGGCTGTATATAAAGTTTCATCAAGTTCTTTTTAAATAGAATCCCTACCGTGTGGAAACAGGCCATTCAGCCCAACAAGTTGGCACTGACCCTCTGATGAGCATCCCACCCAGAACTAGCCCACTACACTATCCCTGTAACCCTGTATTGCCCATGTTTAACGCACCTAACCTACACATCCCTGATTGCTATGGTTAATTTAGCATGACCAATCCACCTAACCTGCCCATCTTTGGACTGTGGGAGGAAACCAGAGCACCTGGCAGAAACCCATGCAGACACGGGCAGAACGTGCAAACTCCACCCAGACTTCCACCCTCGAGTGACTTCGAACCTGGGTCCCTGGTGCTGTGAGGCAGCAGTGCTAACCTCTGAGCCACCGTGTGCAGCCCTTAAGTTAGCCAGTGGTGGGTTTAAAGTTGGATGAAAGGTCAGTTGATTTGAAGGTTCTTAGTTTTGCAGGTTGCTCAAGATCCTGTGACTAATTCACAGCAAAGATATATCATAGGAGGAAGAAGGGTTTTAGGAAGGGGATAAACTAGCTATGATTAAGCAAGAAGGTTAAGAATAGTATCACATTGAAAGAAAAAGCATACAATATAGCAAAGATTAGTGGTAAGAGTATGTGATCGGGAAAATATTTAAAAGCTAACAAAAGATGACCCCAAAAAAGGGAGAAAGTAAACTGAAGATAAACTAGTGGGATAAAACAGGGGTAGCAACAGTAAAATGGACAGTAAGAGCTTCTTTAAATATGTAAGGAAGAAAGAGGCCAACGTGAACATGTGCTCCTTTGAGAATGAACTGGGAGAATAATGAGGAACCAGAAAGTGGCAGAAAAGTTGAATAAATACCTTGTATCTGTCATTAGGGCAGAGGATGCTACTAATATTCCAAAAATAATTAAATAATTGGGGGGGTGGTGTAGGAAACAAATATGATAACTGTCACTAGAGAGAAAGTACTAGAGAAATAAATGGGGTTGCATTTTAAGATTTAAATGAAGTGCCTGTAGCTACCAAAATAGTGGATGCACTGATAGTAGTCTTCCAAGAGTCCTCAGATTTTGGTAAAGTCACAGGATTGGAAAACTGCCAATTTAACATCTTTATGCAGAAAGTTGGGGGGCGCGTGAGTGGTGGAGATTACAAAACTGTTTAATATCTGTACATTCGGACAATGAAGGCCATCAGTTTAACTGGGACAAAGTAACCATAGTAGCCCAAGCCAAACATAGACACGCACGGAAATTCCTAGAGGCATAGTGCTCCACCCGTAATGCAATCAACAAACATATAGAATTGGACCCCCTATATAAACCTATACAGATCAAAACCAAAAATGACAAACACCATAATGGACCCGACAGTATAAATTCCAAGTGGAATAGAATAACATCGCTTCATCGAAGGCTCCACTGATGATGTCACCTAGCATGGTGATGAAACATCTGAACAAAAACAAGCCAGCTCGGCGAGCAAGTCAACAACTTCATTAAAAAAACAGTTAACTGTAGGCTCAACATTGTCATTGGGAAAATGTTAAGAGTCTAATATGAAGAATGTAATAGCCAAACATTTAGAAATACATAAAATGATCAAGCAGAGTCAGAATGGCTTTGTAAAATAATAAGAAAAGAAGATAAACTTTGAAGGTAAGCTTTTAAGAAATATCAAGATCGACAGCAAGAACTTCTTTAAGTAAATAAAAAGAAAGAAAGAGACCAAAGTGAACGTATACCTCTCAGAGAATGAGGCGGGGTAATGGCAGAGGAGTCAAATGAATGCTTTTTGTCAATCTTCATAGTGGAAGACATTAAAACTAAATAATCAAGGAAGAAAATAAATACAATAATTATCACTAGCAGAAGAGTCTTAGAGAAACTAATGTGGCTGGACACCAGCAGATAGATCCTTGGATATTAAAAGAAGTAGTTGCAGAGAAATGGTGGATGAACTGTTAGTAACCTTCCAAAAACCTTAGATAGTGGAAAAATCCTGGAGGTTTAGAAAACTGCCACTGTAACACCTTTTACTTTGAAAGGGAAGGAGACAAAAAGCAAAAGCAAGTAACAAGCTGCAGCACTTCCTCAGTACTGCAGTCGGGATTGTTTTAATGCTACAGTCAGCAGGACCTGATCCCCACAGACTACCTCCTGCAGCCTCGGGCGACTGTCTGTCTGGAGTTTGCACATTCTCCCCATGTCTGGGTGGGTTTCCTCCGGGTGCTCCGGTTTTCTCCCACAGATAGATTTGCAGGCTAGGTGGATTGGCCATGTTAAATTGCCCGTAGTGCCCAGGAATGGTTAGGGTAGGCAGGTTAGACATGCGGAAACGCGGGGGTAGGGGAATGAGTCAGGTGGGATGCTCTTCGGATGGGAGGTGTGGACTAGTTGGGCCGAATGGCCTGTTTCCACACTGTAGGGATTCTATGAATAGGCCAGTTACCTTAGTGCTGTTGCTTGGAGAATGTTACCGTCATTATAAAGGGTGTAAAAGCAGTGCATTTAGAAGTACATAGTGTGATCAAACAGGCTTTGTAAATGGTACTTCCAAAATGCATTGACAAAGGTACCACTCGTACTTAACAGGATAGAAGCCATTGGTGTTGGGGTAGTATGTTACCATGAATAGAGGATTGGCTAACTAATAGAAGACAGAATTGGGGTAAGAAGGGCATTTTCAGACACCCTGTAACTGATGGAGTGCCACAGTGATTAGTGCTGGGTCTGCAATTATTTACAATCATTAAATAGATTTGGATTAGGGAAGTGAATGTACGATAGACAAGTTTGCAGATGACGCAAAAATAGGTGGGAAGACAAATAGTGAGGATGATACAAAGTATCCACAGAGGGACATAAACTGGTTAAGTGCATGGCAGAATCTTGGTGGATGGAATGTAATGTGAGATTCTGCACTTCAGCAGGAAGAATAGAAGAGCTGAATATTTTTAAATAGAGACTGCAGAAATCTGTACCACGGAGGGATTTAGGTGTCCGTTTGCATAAATCCCAAAAAAGTAGCATACAGGTTGAGCAGGTAATAGGGAAGGCAAATAGACTGTTGGCCTTTAGAGAAGTCTTACTAAAACTATATAGGGCAATAGTTAGACCACGCCCAGAATGCTGTGAAGCTTTGGTCCGCTTATTTAAGGATTGATATCCTGGCATTAGAGGCTGTACAGAAAAGGAAGATTTTTCCAGTGGTCATAAATATATGGATTTCTTTACTGCAGAGAACTGTTGAGGCTGAGTTATTAAGTGTGTTTAAAGCTGAAATAGACAGATGTTTATATTCAGTAATAGAACTAAGGGTTATGGGGTAAAGGCAGGAAAGTGGGGTTGGATAACAGAGCGGACTCAATGGGCTAAACAACTGATTTCAGCTGCTACACATTTATGGTCACACAGCTGTGAGAGTACTTCATTGATCTGTTCGCTTTTGTCCGTTTTACTAGCTTGTTGGCTGCTAGCACTGAGTGAGATAATTCCTTTACCTGCAAGGTATGAGGCTGGAAAAGCACAGCAGTTCAGCCAGCATCTTGGGTGCAGGTAAGTCAATGTTTCGGGCCGAAACCCTTCTTCAGTTTTGGCCCGAAACATTGACTTACCTGCTCTTCAGATGCTGTCTGACCTGCTGTGCTTTTCCAGCCTCATAACTATAGACTCTAGCTTCCAGCATCTGCAGTCCTATTGTTGCCTTTACCTGCAACATGGATGACTAGGGGATTGTTCTTTGATTATGATCTTCACAGCATGCTAATGCTTGAACTCTGGCTAGTACACCAGATTACCTTGGCCGGCTACCACACACAAGAATGTCCAGTCCTGCCAGCACACTCCAGTACAGTAGAGTTGAAACTTGCCTTCCAAACACTGTCCTTGTGTAGATATATTCTGATCCACCTATTCAGGGATGTTATTATACACTTCTGGAGCATGTGGGACTTGATCCCAGGCGTCTTGGTCTAAAAGTATTGACACTATCACTACACCACCTCCTGTCCATGTGTATTCCTCTAGGGGGGAAAGACACAAAATCTGTCTGTAGTTTGAGATGTAACCCACAGAGGGTGGCTTGTTTTGAGCAGGGGTGTCATCAGCCTTGCATTATTTTTTCAGTTATGAGATTACAGTACAAGCTGATTTGCTTTGATTCTTCCCGCTTTTGTGAAGGATTGGTTTTTGAGGTTCCCTCTTCATCTTTAGATGTGACACTCTGTGGATCTCTGTCCAGACAACCATTGATCATAACCTTCATACTTTGTAGTTATGATCCATAGTCATGACAATACTGACTTTGATTTATAATTTTTTTCTGTCAATGTGAGCTAATCTGAAAAATATAACTTATGTCTACAGGCCTCTGGCAACAAGGTGAGCAGGCAGTCTGTGCTTTGTGGAAGCCAGAACATTGTTTTAAATGGCAAGGTAAGTGGAATGGGATGTAGGAACATTCAAATAACTCTCTCTTTTTATGTGTGTTTGGGCATATCATGACATGCACCGGGGTCAGCTCATCGATTACCATATTCTTGCTGACCTATTTGGCTCTTGGTCTGACAACATCTCAATTTTAACTCCTTATAGTAGTGTTCATCTGTTCCCGTAGTTGTGTGCAGTCACTCTCCTGCCTCCCATCTATATATTCTTCAGCTCAATATCTTCCACCATCTCTTATTTTCCAATTCTGGCTTCTAGTTTTCACCTGTTAGTGAATACAGTGTATTCACTGTCTCAGCCCCAGATTGTTAAATTAGCTCTGTGAAACTTTCTACCACTCTACCCTTCTTTTACTTGCTTTGAGACACTCCTTAATTTCTATCTCTGAACAAGGGTTTTGTTACCAGTCCTAATATTTCTTTGTGGCTCAGCGTTATTTAGACATGCATTCTTTTCTGAAGCCATATGCAAAAGGTGCATGTTCCTCTTAAGGACCAGCATTATTTCCAACCTTTAAAAGGTTCTTCTTGAGTACAACGTAAATGGCTAGCTAGGCTATTTCAAGGAGAAGTCAAGAATTACTGTAGTTACTGTAGATTTGGAAGGATTGGAACAATACAGGCCTGAAAGTTAGTTAATGAACCAAATGAGTTTTCACAACAATCCAGTGGTTTCATGATCACTGTTAATGGTAAGTTTACATAATTAACTAAGTGAATTTAAATTCCTGTTTCTGGATCATTAGTACAGGTCTCTGGATTACTAATCGAATAATGATTACTAATCTAAAAAATCTAAACCTCAATGTTTTGTACCCCATTGTACCTCCCAGTATTCATGATTGGAGAACTGTCAGAGCTTCTGGCAGTATTGTTTCTCTTGCTGCAGATCCAGAAGTATTGACATCAATTTAGGCAACCTGATTGTAGCTCTGAAGAGATCAAATAATTGCACAGATCTGGGATCCTCTGGCATGCCTGCCTCATTGCCATGCCTGACAGTGTGTGATATACCTGCCCACAGAGAAACCAGCAGCTCCCTAGAGTAATTTACAAGTCTATCTAGATGTCTTTCTCTTGGGCTGTGGTATTCACATCTGTTGATCACTTGACATCAGTAAATTTAATCACATCATCCAGAGAATCTGTTGTAATAATGTTATTTTTAAAATCAGACTATTGTTATGAACGATTGCATCATCCGTGGAGACCTGGCGAATGTGAGGGTTGGACGGCACTGCGTCATCAAGAGTCGAAGTGTCATACGCCCACCTTTCAAGAAATTCAGCAAAGGGTGAGGCAAATGCATAGTACAGACATGGAAATTACTGTACCACAGGACTGGAAAGGTTTCATATATCAGTCATATCTAGAACTTAGCATTTTGTGGTGTGGTGGCAGTGCCCCTATCTCTAGGCCAAGAGATCCAGGTTGAAGTCCTATCTGCTTCAGAGATGTTATTACATGTCTGAATAGGTTCATTGAAGCTTTTAAAAATCCTGTCTGGATGAGACATTTTACTGCAAGGAGATGTAGAGGATTTAAGAAAGTGATTACAAAATGGATGAGACAGCTCAAGTTCTTCCCCATTGTCTTTCTCTGTTCAACAACGTCCTTTCTCTCCTCCCTTGCTTCACCGTATGGGACAACCCCACCTTCCAAGTGCCCTGCCATGGTGGCAGACTGCAGGGAAAATATCTGAAACATAGGGGCAGATCTTGCCTCAAAAATTGTACTTACTTTCTGGCAAGAAGCTTTACCCAGTGATTAGAACGAGGAACGTTAGCAGATAGTTCTGTTCTCCCTGATGAGTGCAGGGGTGATGTGGTTACATGTTTGTGGCCCCAGCCAACCCTGGCAGTAGTGAAGTAACTGCACATGCATCAGTCAACCTGGAAGCTTTAGCTGAAAGGTCAGCTTGTTGGATTGTCTAGCTGAATAAGTGCTCTTCCCACTTAGCACCACTGCGTAGTGGGACTCCTTAGAGTGGAATGGAGAAACACAGCTGCCTTTTGGCAAATGTCTTATGAATTTAGAAATAGGTAGTTGTTTCACACTGGATTAGTATCAGACCCAAAATCAAGTTAATCTTCCTGGCAGTGGTGAGAAGCTCTAAACTTCAGATCTCCTGAACAAGAGTGACTGGTCATTGAGGAAGAGCATGATGAGCTTTAGTTTTCTGCATGCAAGGATACAGGTGTCCTGTTATCTTGCATTAGTTGATTTTATAAGCAACTAGGCAGCACACTATTACAAGAAGTTTATGCTAGTGCTACTCTCTTACTGTTGAGAAGGCTGGTAGATGGGAACAGTCTGGACTAAATCACCTGTATGTTAACTTCCTATTGATCAAGATGTCAATAATTGAATTAAACATTTCCTCTGCAATATAGGGTTGCCTTCTTCCCACTGCACATTGGAGACCATGTGTTCATTGAGGAAGACTGTGTGGTAAATGCTGCTCAGATTGGATCCTATGTTCACATAGGGAAGAATTGTGTTATTGTAAGTATATTGCCTCTTATTCATGCTCACGCAATGCTCTCTCTGTCTGTAATGCACCTTCCTGTTGTTTGGTTTGCAGTAGAAGCCTGTGATAGACAGGAAATTAAAAGAAGAAATTATAAGATCTTCTGAGATTTGGACCTACACAGGGGTGTTAGAGGAATTACATGCTAAAGGTTGCGTTCAGGAGGGGATGTTGGAGTAGCTTTGTTAATCAGCCTTTTTGAACATGTTCTGACCCATCTCCAGGGAAGGGGGAAGGTGGAACTTGAACGTGCACCTTCTGGCCCAAAACTAATTGAACATAAAGAGACACTGAGAATGAAGGAGGAGTTGGAGCCTTGTAAAGAAGTTCATTAGGAGGTATAGAAGGTAGATGTATTGTCTGGACCTGTGCTGATTTTATTGCTGATTCAAGAAATCAACTTTTTATTACAAGTGAGTATAAAGACCAACTTATCTTTAACCCACTGAACGGACGCCTATTGCTGATCATTTGTCAGTGGTCCATGGTGATAAGAAGTTGTTTAGCCTTCAAGTGGAGTTTTGCTTGCTAATTATTTGTTTCCTGTTGTCATTTTTTTAATTGATGTGCACCCCCGCATTCACTCGCTCAAGTGCGCACAGGCTAAGTTATCTTTGTTGACTGACCCTTAATTTGAGGATGATGTCAACTGTGTTGAATTTCTGCTAGGAATTTTCATATGACTGAGCAAGTCAATTCTCTGTCTTTGGACAGATGGGACAGGATGGTGGAATCCAGGGTGAAGGATTTGCTTTCTTTCTTTTATTCTGCCACCACTTTACCTCATTAAGACATTGGGATTCGAAAGCCTGAAATTTAGTGCTGGATAATGATATCAATAAAGTGTTTAATAGTGTATAGGTCATTAGCTTTTAATCATGATAAATGGCCAATGAGGTGTTTTTAGTTGATCGTGGGATGTGGATGTTGCTGTCTTGTTGTCCATCCTAAATTGCCTTTGTGAACATAGTGAGAAGCCTTCTTGAACTGCTGCAGTCCTTGGGGAGTAGGGATACCCACAGCATTAATCTAATGACAGTGAAAGAATGGTGATTTGGTTCTAAGTCAGGATAAGGCATGGCTCGGAGAAGAATTTGCATCTCGTGGTTTTCACATGTATCTGCTGCCCTTATCCGTATATGTAGTAGAGGTGGTGAGTTTGGAAGTTGCTTTCAAGGAGCTTGGGTAACTTACTGATATGCATCTTGTAGATGGTATACACGTTGCTACTGCTATGGGTCTGTGGTGAATGGAGTAGCTGTTGATGGTGGAGAATGGGCTGCCAATCAGATGGACTGCTTTTTCCTAGATGACTGATCAGCCAAATCCTGGTTGTTGTCCAGGTCTTGTTGCATAAGGATTTGAGCTGCTTCTGTATATGAGTTGCAAATGGTGCTGAACACTGTAATCATCAGCGAAGATCTCCACTTCTAACTGTGGTAAGGAAGGAAGATCATTGAAGCAGAATAGAGATGGTTGGGTCTAGGAATCTCTCCTGAGGAACTCCTACAGTGATGTTCTGGGACTGAGATGGGTGACCTCCAACAAGCACAACTACCTTTCTCTGTGCTCGGTATAACTCAAAACATCTGAGTTTTCACCTTGATTCCCATTGACTCCAATTTTGCGATGGCTGCTTGAAGCCATACCCCGACAAATGTGGCTTTGATGTCAAGGACAGTCACTCTGACCTCACCCCTCATGTTCAGCTCCTTTGTGCAGATTTAGGCCAAGGCTGTAATGAGGCCACAAGGTGAGTAGCCCAAACAGAACCTGAACTGACCATCATTAAGCAGTTAATTTCTGAGTAAGTGCTGCTTCATAGGACTGTCAATGATCCTTCCATCACTTTGATAGCCTGATTATGCAATTAGACGGTCAGGTTAGATTTGTCCTACTTTTTGCGGACAGGACATAGCTGGGCAATTTTGCACATTCCTGGCTAGATGCCAGTGTTGTAGCTGTACTGGAACAGCCAGGCTAGGGATACAGCTGGTTCTGTGGCACGATCCTCTGTACTAATTCCGCAACATTGTCACGGCTCAGCATTTGCAGTATCCAGTGTCATCAGTTATTTGTTGATATCAATGTGAAGTGAATCAATTTGGCCAAAGGCTGGTATCTGTGATGCTGGCAACCTCAGGAGGAAGCTGAGATGGGATCATCACTTGGCACTTTTGGCTGAAGATGCTTGTAAGTGCTACAGATTTGTCTTTTTCACTGAAGTGCTGAGCTTCCTCATCCTTGACGATAGGATGTGTGTGGAGCTTCCTCCAGTTTGTTAATTGTCCACCATCATTCTCAATTGATGTGGCAGGTCTCCAGAGCTTAGATCAGATGTGATTGTTGTGGGATTGCTTGGCTCTGTTTATTGCAAATTGCTTGTATTATTTAGCATGGAAATAGTTGAATATTGTTGTTTCACCAGGTGTCAACAGTTTTTAGGTATGCCTGGTGCTGCTCCTGGCATGTGATACTGCAGTCATCTTTGAATGTGATGGCAGTGGCAAAGTGGGAACTATGTCGTGTCAAGAAGTTACAGATTGTAGTTGAATATACTTTTTCAGCTGCTGATAGGCCACTGTGACTTATGAATCTTGATGCTAGATCTGCTCGCAAATTATCCTATTTAGCAGGTGTTCATCCCATGTAAAAGCTTGAGGGTATCTTCAAAATGAAGAAGACTTTTGTCTCAAGGGCTGTGTGATTTTTCAACCGTTGTCGTGGATGGATGTTTGTGACAAGTAGATTGGTGATGACAAGGAGAAGTAGATTTTTCCTCCTTGTTAGTTCCTTCACTACTTGTAACAGACCCACTCTAGCAGCTACGTTCTTTAAAATCTGGCAAGCTCTGTCAGTAACACTTTGTTATACACGAATTTGCTACAATTCACGTACTTGTGGGTTTGGCCCCGGAACACACACTCTTACCCATTTGGACAGATTTTGACAGATTGCATGGTACTTCGTGGTAGATAGTGGATTTCTATTCTAGCATTATCCATGGGATGTCCATGCCCCTAGCCCCCACAGAAAAGAAGGATTTGGTGTAGTGGTGCTGTTGGGTTATTTTCTGTATCCTTGCCTTTCTTCCAAGTACTGATTCCTGGTGGGTGATGGTCGTAATCAATAAGAGATTTCCTTGCCCCTGTTTGACCCAATGTCCTGAAACTCCATGGGGTTTGGAGTCAATGTTGAGAACTCCCTGGCTACTGTGTACACTTACACCAAGACATCTAGTGGATCCATTTTGACAGTGGAATAGGACAGTGCCAGGGATGGCGGTGTCTGCCATTTTAACTGTAATATGATTCTATGACAGGCTAAGCTATGGGCATCTCTTCAATTTTGGCACAAGCCCCGGTTGTTCTTAAGTACTGTGTGGAGAAAACTGGGCTGTGTGTGCTGTTATTGTTTCTAGTGCCAGGTATTCAATTCCACTTCATTCCTTATTGACTTTTCTGTTGCAATTTGATGCAGTCAGACAGCATTTAAGATTGTGGATCTGGTGGTGGGGACAGCGGATTTCCTTCCTTAAAGGGCATTAAATAATCAGGTGGGTTTTTCTGACAATCAACAATGGCTTCATGGTCACTATTACTGAGTTCAACTTGAATTCTATATTTTTATTAATTAAATTCAAATTCCACCAACCACCATGATGGGATACAAACCCATGTTCTTGGGTAGTGGGCATTACCTCTAAGCCAGTGCTTCCCTGAGCTGATTCTCACAAAAAAAACAGCTTTAATAGGACGACAGTGGCAACTAGCACTGTTATCGTGAGCAAGGTCTTTACCTTTGTCCTGTTGATGTTACTCAGTGTCCATACTTGGGTATACAGTTTATTGCTTCCTCTTGGCAGATGGAGTGTGTTGTCCCTAATCCTTATTTTTTTTTTTCTTTATGTAGGGTCGAAGATGTGTTCTGAAAGATTGCTGCAAAATTCTGGACAACACTGTCCTTCCACCAGAAACCGTGGTTCCGCCTTTCACTGTCTTCTCAGGCTGTCCAGGTGAGTAAAGTTAAATCACCACATCACACCCACAATAGCTGATTCTTTGGGTCGAGGAAGGAGAGGCAACCATGTTTATTATAGTTAGTGAGCTGGATAAAGTCATGTTTAGTGCATGAATTATTTTAGCAGCAGAGCTTCTAATGTTCCACGTGGTTAGTAAGGTTAGATTATATAGGATCCAGGGGACCTAGCCAATTGGATGCAAAATTGGCTTGAAGGTAGCAGACAGAGTGTGGTGGTAGAAGGTGGCCTGTGATCAACGGTGTGCTGCAATGATTGATACTGGATCCACTGCTTTTTGTCATTTATGTAAATGACTTGGATGTGAACATAGGAGCATGGTTGGTAAGTTTGCAGATGACACCAAAATAGGTGGTGCAGTGAACATTTGAAGAAGATTATCTCTGAGTGCAACGGGACCTTGATCGGATGGGCCGATGGGCTGATGGGCCAAGGAGTGGCAGATGAAGTTTAATTAGATAAATGTGTGGTGTTGCATTTTGCTAAGGCAGACCAGGGCCGGATTTATACGGTCAATGGTAGGGCCCTGGGGAGTGTGGCTGAACAGAGACCTAGAGGTGCAGGTGCATAGTTCCTTGAAAGTGACGTCACAGATAGACAGGGTGGTGAAGGAGGTGTTTGGCATGCTTGTCTTCATTGGTCAGAGCATTGAATATAGGAGTTGGGATGTCATGTTGCAATATTTAAAAGGCATCTGGATGGATATATGAATAGGAAAGATTTAGAGGGATATGGACCAAATGGGACTAAGTCGGGTTGGGATGTCTCGTCGGCACAGACGAGTTGGACTGAAAGGTCGGTTTCTGTGCTGTATGACTCTGACTCTGACTCTATGATAGTGTGGCATTACATGGAAATGCGGCTACAGAAGAAACGAAGTGTAATTCAGCACCTGAAGATGTTTTACTATGTTAAAGGCACTATATAAATATAAGTTCTGGTTGCAGGCATTTATACACCTGACACATAGGCACAGTGTGCAATCAGATGCTTGAATATTCACATCTGAACATAATTTCTAGAATCTTTGAACTGTTTGTAATGTTTTCACTTTTCTTTACTTCAAGGTATGGGGGTAATGTTTGTTCTTGTGAAGGCCCGTGGTAAAAGGGAATCACTTTGTTCACCTTCTGATATCTTCAACCCTACAGCTTTTCAAGTAATTTAATCCGCAGAGAATGTGGTTTACTGCTTCTGTCCGTGATTTGAAAGTGCTTGATATGGAAACTGAGTATCAGAGGTGGAATGTCATTCCTAATTGTTTTGAATTATTTTGCCTGCAGTATAATTTGTGTGTTCCTCAGATAGTGGACTATCTTGTTTGTTTCAAGGTCCAGCTATGGGTCCATTGGTAGCACTCTCCTCTGATTAAAATTGGACTTGTACCTACAGTGACTTGAGCCCAAGATCTAAGCTGACACTCTCAGTACAGCCCTGAAGGAGTATTGCATCAGCTGAGGTGCTTCTTTCCAATCAAGTAATAGAACAAGATCCTATATGACTTGTCAGGTGGATGCAAAACACTACTCAAAGACGAACAAGAGAATTAATTCCTCAATCAATATCTTTAGGACAGATTATTTAACCGCTATCAAATTGTTGTTTGTGGAGCGTTACTATATGTAATTTGCCTGCCATGTTTCCCACATTTATTCTGTTTCATTTAAAGTCCTTTGGTGGCTGTAATACACTTTAAAATATCCTACAGTTCTAAAAGCAAGTTATGAAAAGCCAAGCCTTCATATATACAATAACATTGCAATTCACTATTGGTTGAATAGAGAGGTTCCTATTTTGAAAGATTTATGGAATTCTTTTGTTTGCTGACAGGCCTGTTTGCTGGTGAGCTCCCAGAGTGTACACAGGAGCTTATGATGGATGTCACAAAGAGTTACTACCAGAAGTTCCTGCCATTGTCTCAGATATGAGACATGGCTTTACTTCAGAGCACTACAAGTACAGGTAAGATGATCAGCGGTACCTAGTGCTAGTGAAGCACTTAGTGAAAATCAGCATATACCTAGGTTTGAAAACAAGATTTGATTTAATATTTAAGCTGCTCTTGTTTCACTCCATCCCTGTCTGAATCCTTGACCTCCAAGGTCGATTTGAGACCCCATTATTGTTTTTTTTTTTCTGTCAACCAAATCCTGAAGTTTTTATTTCCTTTGTGATTTGCTTGACTCTCTTCTGACTCCTGCAGAAATATTGATTTCTCTTTAAAGTATTTTCCTTTTGAAGGCTGTTGATCTGTTCTCACCCCTCTAATCAGAGTAAAACAATTTACAACTAGATCTCCTCTAGATTTTAAAGAGGTGTACTGAGCTAGGAGTTACTGGATGGACAGTGCTACTGATTAAGAAGGGTCCCAGATACATTAGGACTTGAGCATTCTCTCAACACTCCATTCTGAGAGTACTAAGTTGTCACAGGTGCCATCGTCCAGATATGGCATTAAACCAAGGCCCTGACTTTGTGTCAATGGATGTTCAAGGTCCCAGATATTGTGACGTGATATGTAAATAAATAGAGTTTTGTTTCCTGACCAACAACCTTCTTCAACTATGACTGGTCATCCATAATGCATTATCTGTCTATACAAAATGAACATACAATATATAGCTATGTAATGTTGTCTGGTGCATTGTAATTAAGTATAAAGCATTCTAGGAAATTTATGATTAAATACATGTCTCTAGTGACTAGTGCTCCAATGCTTATCTGATGCAGCATTTCTACCCTATCCCACCCCAGACTAATTTTGAAAAATCATTTATTCACAATGCAAATTGTTCTTTCAGTTTTTACAACATTTATTTGGAGGCAGTGTTTGATTTGTCTTGAAGGTTTAGTTTAGGGCTGCTATATTTTACAAGACAACAATGCTTAAGGACCTAGCTGGATTCACTTGTTCTCAAATTTGCACATGTACGATTCTGCTTGCTGTGGATAATCTAAAAGTATGTCCAGTGAGATAAGACATGTCCTCAGTTGATAATTTAATCAATTATTAACAGTCTTGTAGGATTGTGCAATCCTAACTCTGTCGCCATGTTTTTTACTCTTTGTATAAACCAGCCAAACTCTTTCATTTAATCCTGGTTTTAAACTCACTCTTCCTGAGCGTCCATCATTCTACATTTAATTTTACCTTTCTTGTTGCAGAATCCAGTTAATTGGGGACCTGAAAGTGAACAGCTGGAAAAACGGCCCAAATTCTGCCTGAGCACTTCAAAGTGATGGAGTGGCTCTAACATGGAGAAGCTCAAGTCTTCTAAATGATAAATGTGTTCATCTTTGGTCTGATGAAGACTTGCTGCTGCTCCACACTGGGAGTGATTCTCTATGTCTATGTCGTCTTCAGTTCGATGTTAAAGCATAAGTTGGCTCTGCATAATACCACAGAAAATTCAGAGCCCCAAGAATATATTTATTTGACGAAATGTTAAATCACTGATCCTCCTACACACTAACTGGATTTAATCCGTTTCTAGTTTGGAAAAGACTTCAGTTGTGACTGAATGTAAAGATCGTACGAGTTCTGTCTTTAGAATTCACTTACACTAGGTTTAGTGTTTGTCTGAAATGCCCTTCAGATTAACTAGTACTTACTATTTGCAAAGTTCGTGACTTTAATCTGCTTGACTACCAACACCAGTTGGAATTCTCACTGATTCAATTATTACTCAGATCTCTAGCGGGCAGGATTCTTGGACAACACCAGTGAGTAGTGCAACATGCAGCATTATGTCAGGGCTTTGGCTGTTTCTTGGAAGCTGGTGAGAACTAGGGGGTGGATAGGTGTATAGTAGGGCATCGACCCTTCTTTCAAAACAGCAGTAGTGTTTGATTACCTGAAATGTAACTAGTTTGTATGACAGAACTTTCATTAAAGACCAATTCCTGAGGCAAGGCATGTTGCCTGATGAAATAGTATGACCTAAGGGAATTGACTCCATGGGGAAACTAAGGATAGACAGCATTTTGTTTGAGCTTTAACTAACAAATAAAATTTAGTTTTTGAGGCTACTGCAGTGAGCATGCTATGTGATAAATTTAACCCTGCTTATAGATATGTGCAGTATCGTCTAGCATAGCTATGTGCACTTTAATCCTTCTAACTAAAGACTTAACAGTCCAGATTTGGGGATCTTGAGGCAAGCAAATAGAGTAGAAGTCAGTGTTGGTTTTGGACACTGAGCTCCCTGGTTATTTGGTTGTTCTTGATCCCCACCCATGGCTAATGGATGTTGAGGAACTGGGTAGCCTTTTAGCATCAACTAGGGTGACCTGCCTCACTCACTCGAATTGGTCAGTGCTCCATAAATTGACTTTGTGGAAGGCATCGTGTAATCCCATAATTCTGTGAGTACAGGTCATATCACTGCTAGGAGTAAGAATTATGCAAGATTCTGAACTACAGGGTTACATTTAAGCTGTCTTTTTTTTCTTTCTTTTCTGCTGTTTATCTTTTTTTTAATGATTCTTGTATCCTGCCAATTCTTTGTATAGTAAATGAGTTGTTTGAAGTTAAACGTATGGACAGTGGCTAGTGAGAACTTGCAATATAACATTCACTAATTGCAGTGGTACAAGAAACACCACAAAGTAAATGGATATCAGTGTTGCTTGATGCAGTACATATTGTGAAATTTCACTGTACCCAGCCCCAACCAAAATCTGTATGCAGCCTAATTTACTGCTGTTATCAACTGCGTGCAGTACCTAGTCTACTTGTCTTTCTTTGGAGGGAGAACCAGATTCTATACTTTACTTTCCCATGCCAGTACTGTCCAGGATGTTTTCAAACTGGTTCCTTATGCAGTCCACTCTGCATGCAACACTTCAAAAGAAACTGGGATAATAGAGCACTAGACTTGGACCTGTTGTGTCAATCGCATCTGTCAAAGAATTACAAATTGGAAAATGACATGCAAATGTAATAAATGTTTGTGGTTACATTTTTGTTTGTGTAAATTGTAAATTCTCTTAATATATAAATGAAACATGACAAACTGCAGAACAGGGGGAATTTATGCAGCTCAAAGGATAGGTGAGAGAAAGATGTACAATCTACAATAGGCTCTAAACACTCATTCCAGCAAGCTTTAGAATCACAACTTTACAACACAGAAGCAGGCTATTCAGCCCACTGTGTCAGTGACCACTCTCTACAAAAGCAATTCCATTTTTCTAATTATCCTGCTGCTTCAGTTTTTTTCATTTTCAAATATTTACGTATTTTTCAATTAACTGTTAAAGAAATATTTGTATTACATTGAGAAAGTCACTGCACTAGAAGCACAAAGTTTGAATGGTATTTTTTTTTTCCCCATTCTTGACCTTGTCTCCCAACGGCTATTCTGTCTAACCTCAATTACTGCTGCTGGTGCCAGTGGAAATTTCTAAAAGATAGGCTGCTTGATTGTGCTATTCTGGCTGTTTTGGAATCCTCTCCCCAGTGAGTATTTTCCAAGGCTTAGTTGTATTGTTGGTTGGCAAGGGAGTCCTTCCCAGTGTGATGACTATGCAGCGTGACCAGGCCACAGTTGGAGTAGTCTTGCATCTTGCCATGTTTCATATGCTCCCTCAATGAGCCGGGAGAACCACCCAGAGGATAAGGGGAGTTGAGCAGGTCAAATCTTGAGTAATGATCTTTTATACCACCTTTTACTACAGTTAAAATCTCAAAACACTTCAGTAACTGAACCTAAGTTGACAACAAGGACATAAAGTATTGAAATAGATGGCTTAAAACCTACTTTTAACAACTTTTTGGGGAAAATAAAAAGGTTTGGGGAGAGATTTCAGGAGTTGGGGCCCACACTGTTGGTAGGTGAAAAGATTAGACAATGTGTAGGAAGCCATAGCTGAAGGAGTGTAGAGTTCTAAGGATTGTAGGATTCGATAATATGGCAAACTGCAATTCTGGAACAATGTAAAATAAAATATTTTTGCTTTTGAATACAATCACTTGCTGTGTTGAAAACTACATGTAAACTGTAAGTGTAGTTAATATTTACTAGTGTTGACCATGACACTTTTGTTTTTCTTTAAGTAATGGTATGCAAGTGTAAATATTTGCAAAGAGCAGGCTTCAGTTTATTACATTATCTGAAAAATGGCACCTCTGACAGTATACCGTTCTCTTTATATTGCACCTTTGATCATTACTCAATGAATAGCTCATTATTTTATTCTCTGCTATTCAGTTTTGTTCTTTCACATAATGTGGCATTTTGCTGGCTGGACCAGATTTTTTTTGCCATCCCAAATTGCTCTTGGAAAGGTGGTGGTGAGTTGCTACATCCATGTGGTGTGGGTACACAGAATGTTTTCGGGACCCAGCTGATACTGACTAATCTCTAAGAGCCAATAAATCAAACAATACTGGATTAAAGATGTTCCAGTCTGTGTATTAAATTGACCTGAGTGGCTCTGTGGGCTGTCTGCTTGTTGGTTTTTTTTTTTTTTGCAAAATTGCCTCAGACTGAGCGGCAGCCAGACAGGTTAGAGAAACAACCTAACCAGTATCCTAAGAGATCTTTAATGAGCAAAGGAAACTGAAGTTGATCTTGCATAATCCTAACCTGCCCTACCCATTTTGTGCAGTAAACATTACCTTAACCTGCTGTACCCTCAGTAAGGATCAAAAAACCATGTTAACCTGCCCCATCCTTGGTACGGACCAAACTGTCACCTGCCTTACCTTCAGGATGTAAGAAATAGGGGTAGAGTGGGCCATTAGTCCTCTCAAGCCTGCTGTGCCTCTCAGGAAGATTATTGGTTGTCTAATATGGACTTATCTTCACTTTGCTGCCTCTCTCTCCCATAATTTTCAACTCCCTTGTCAACCAACGATCTAACTAAGCCTTGGAAAATACTCGCTGGGGAGAGGATTCCAAATATTAACAGCATTGAAATAAGAAATTATATTATCTTTCTTCTGTCTTAAATAGGTGAGCCCTTGTTTTGAAACTGTGCTCCCTAGTTTTAGACTGCCCCATGAGAAGAAACATTATTTCAGCTTCTACCTTGCAATGTTCCTGTAGTGTTAGAAGTTTCAAAAAGATGTCTCATTCTTCAAAACTATAATGCATTCAGACCAACTTGCACAGTTTCTCCTCATGGCTAATTTCTGGTCTAAAGGAACTGTGTCAAGTGAATCTTCTCTGAACTGCCTCCAAAGCAATAGTGTCCCTGCTTAAATAAAGTGACCAAAACTGAGCAGCAAGGAGTGGTAATGACCTAGTGGTATTAGCCCTAGACTATTAACCCAGAGAGACCGATGATGTTTTGAGGAACTGAGTTAGAATCTTGCCATGGCAGATCATGCAAATTGAATTTAATAAAAATCTGGAATTGAGAGTCAACTGATGACTATGATACTATTGTTGGCAAAACCGATCTGGGCTAATGTGCTTTGGGAAAGGAAACTGCCATCCTTACCTAGTGTGGCCCATGTGACTCCAGACTCTCAGCAATGTGATTGATTTTTAACTGTCTCTTGGGGATGGGCAATAAATGTTGCCCTGACCAGCAATACCCACATCCCATTTTTTTTAAACACTTACATTGATTAAATACCTTTGATAAAATGTCAAAGGACAGTTAAGAGTGGAACAATTAAAATCAAGCCATTCCTCAGCCTACCTTAGATGAATACAGTTCTCTTGGAGAGTTATGGGATTGGCAGAGATTATAAAGATGGGCTGAACAATGCAATTGAGATCTGTAAATAAAGATAAGATTTCTTTTAATTTAATGCTTTACTTGACCAGAAGACAGTTTAGGTCAGCAAGGACAAGGTGATAGCTGAACAGACTTGGTGCAATTAAGGACACAAACAGCAGAAATTTTGGTGAATTTAAGTTTTTGCGAGGGTAGAACATAGGAGGCCAACCAAAAGTATGCAGGAATTGTTGAGTCTAGAGGTAATGAAGGTGTGAATAAGGGTTTCAGGGGTCAAAAACTCTTAAGGTTGCAAACAAGTTTATTTAATCTCAGACACGAGCGGGGAGAGGAATTGGGGGTAGGGAGCAAATAAAACAGAGTGAGGAAAGAATGTGAAAATGTTTGAAAGTCCCACGTGGGGATATCCAAACCCAGGCTAGTTTGCCGCTCAGACAAACATACACCAAGGTAAGCCCTCAGCTCAAATAGATGCGTACCCATGTAAATTCACAACTCAGACAAATATACACCTCAGCCAAGCCTGTGTACTGGTAAATTTGCACAGAATATACCAGTGTCTGCAAAAGAATAGAGGAATGTGTTATTTCCCCCCCTTGAGTTTGTTTTGTTGCCATTCATTGAGCTCTTGATTTGGGACCAGCTCCATTTTATCACCTTTGCCCACTTCCCTTAATACCTCTGGATAGCAAAATTGTATCTATCTCAGTTTTAAAATTAGCAATTAATTTAGTATTGACTTCTGGGTGTAGAAGAGAGTTTTGCTACCACCTTTAATGTGAGGAGTATTTCCTAACTTAATTTCTGAAAGTCTGGCTCCAAGTTTATTTTTCTATACCACCAGTCCTAGAGTCTCAAACTTGCTAATCAGTTTCTCCCAATCTAGCTTCTTGCTCCCATTAATGTGTTTAAAACTAATATGATCAACTTTTAATTTCTATGTTTGAGTTTCTATGTCCCCAATATTTAATAGGAGGAAATTTCTGCCTGTACTTTACTGGATGTCAGTTATGCAATTTGACAAATTGGAAACAATACAGGAATCAACAAAGTGCTGGCAACTTAGAGCTGGACATCGTCAGCATTAGTGAGTAACCTGTTTTCTGAAGATGCTGCCAAAAGAGAACATGTAGGCAAGAGAGAGGGGGGTCAATAGTAGATTTTTGAGGGTCACCAGAGGCAATCGTGTGGAAGTGGAAGGATGCAAGTAACTCACAATGGCTATTAATAGTGACGAAAAGAAGCAGGTGAGTCCCAGAAACACTAATGTCCGCTTGAGAGAGTAGACAGGGTTTCTATTTAAAATCTCATCTGTAAGATAGCATCTCTGTCAATGTCAGTCTGGATTATAGCTCCAGAGCCTCTAAAGTGGGGTGCACAAGCACCCGATTTAAGGCATTTAATTTAATTCTATTTTATTTAAGGCTCTCAGGCAAGGATGCTCCCAACTGAACAGTAACTTTGGAAGTCGTACACCCAATCCATGCCTTCAGGAGCCTGGGGGACACTGAGATGCTTGAGAAGCTTTGAGAACGTGGAGGGATTGGGGTGGCAGTCGCAGCTCGAATCCCCACCCTTTCCTTCCGTTGCTCAGAAACCAACCTACTGGTTGGGGGTATCGGCTGTGATTGGTGGAAGGTGCTGTCATTCAGCGCAGTCACCAAGCAGCCGGCAGGGTGCATTTAAACCGTTCTTTCCCGGCATTCAGCCGGGCCTCGGGTTCTATTTAAATATAATTGGCCAATCAGGAGCGGCGCACGGCTTGCTAACTGTCGACGCTCCAGATTTGAATCAGAGCCCCCGAGCATCTGGCCTGGGACGGACACGGTTTGTAGCGACTTTAGTCTGCAGCCACCCAATTTTTACCAGACCCGGAGAAGACTCCACTCAACTTCGATTTGGCACTTTGTTCTCCCCTTTCCCCCTGTCTGCATTGTGAACCGGTCAAATAATGACCACGGTGGCCGGTAAACCGTCCGCCAAGCCGGGGTCTGTGGCCCCGCCGGTCGTCGCTCCGGTGGCCAAGGAGATCCCCGACATCCTGGTGAACCCCAAGACCATGAAGAGATACGTGCGGGGCCGCTTCTTGGGCAAAGGGGGGTTCGCCAAGTGTTACGAGATTTCCGACATGGACACCAACGAGGTGTTCGCTGGGAAGATCGTGCCCAAGACGCTGCTGATGAAGCCGCACCAGAGGGAGAAGATGTCCATGGAGATCTCCATCCACAAGAGCCTCAATCACGCCAACGTGGTGGGTTTCCACGGCTTTTTCGAGGACGATGACTTCGTCTACGTTGTCCTGGAGCTATGCAGGCGGAGGGTGAGTGTCTCGGGTTGAGGGGTGGGGGAGAATTGACAAGGCGTTGGAGCTGCCGGCACCGGTTTATACTGACCGCCGCTTTCCCCCCGGGATCGACGGTTGTAAACGGAGAAGGGAGAGCTGCGGGACAAAGGATCCCGGTGAATGGAGCGTTCTCCCATTGGAACCAACTGTAACAATTTGGGGCTGGGGGAGGGGCTCACCCACAAGTGACACCGATCAGAGGGGGACTAGACACTGTCAGACTGGGTGCAGCAGCTCAGGGCCCTGAACTTGGACCAGGGCGATGCTCAGCCTGCCCGCTGCTGTCTTTTTTTTGTTAAAATGGGGTTTGCATTTAAAATTGCGGCAGCTCGGAGCCGGTTGGCTGGCGGGTGCCTCGTATTAAAGAAGGCGGAGCCTCGGCATTGCAAGCCAGAAGGAGCAGCTCCTGGTTCGTTCTCTTCCCATCCCCACTCCGTGTTTAATTCGGTAAATGGTTCGGTTAAAGCCACAATTGCTACCTTCATTCTAACTAGTGATTCTCCTCTCCTCTGTTAGCTGGGACTGCCCTGTGTTACTGATCGGCTGCGGCCAATAATTCAATACTTTTTTTTATTTTTGTTTTTAAAGTGAACTAGTTCTCTTTTAATACCGAACACAAGTTAAATGTCTCATTTAGTCTTTACTAGAATTGCACAAGAGGCGGAAGGCTGTCACTGAGCCCGAGGCCCGGTATTACCTGAAGCAAGTCATCCTGGGCGGCCAATATCTGCACGATAACAACGTTATTCATCGAGATCTCAAGCTTGGCAACCTTTTCCTCAATGATGATATGGAAGTGAAAATAGGTAAAGCATTGCAGCCGGTTGTCGGTACTCTTTAGCCTGTTCATGAAGCCAACAGTCACTTAGAGTCATAGAGCTGTACAGCAGACCCTTCGGTACAACCCGGCCATGCCAACCAGATATCCTAAATTAGTCTAATCCCATTTGCCAGCATTTGGCAATATCTCTCTAAATCCTTCCTATTCATACACACAACCGGATGCCTTTGAAATGCTGTAATTGTTACAGCCTCCACTACTACTCATGGCGGCTCATTCCATACGCACATCACCCTCTGGGTGAAAAAGTTGCCCCGTAGGTCCCTTTTAAATCTTTCCCCTCTCACCATAAACCTATGCCTTCTAGTTTTGGACTCCTATACCTTGGGAAAAAGACCTTGGCTATTCCCCTTATCTGCGCCCCTCATGATTTTATAAATCTCTATAAGGTCATCCCTCAGCTTCCAACGGTCCAGGGTGGGGGATAAAAACTCCAGTCCATTCAGCCTCTCCCTCTAGCTCAAACCCTCTGACCCCAGCAACATTCTTGTAAATCTTTTCTGAACCCGTTCAAGTTTAACAATCCCTTTCCTATAGCAGGGAGACCAGTATTCCAATAGTCGCCTCACCGATATCCTGTACAGCCGCAGCATGACCTCCCAACTCCTATTCTCATTGCACTGACTGATGAAGGCAAGTGTACCAAACTCTGCCTTCGCTACTTGGTTTACCTGCAACTCCACCTTCAAGGAACTATGAGCCTCCAACCCAAGGTCTCTTTGTTTGGCAACACTCCCAAAAGGGCCTACCATTAAGTGTACAACTGTTCCTGCCCTGATTTGCCTTACTAGCGTGCAGCACCTCACATTTATTTATCTAAATTAAACTTCTACTGCCACTCCTCAGCTGATCTAATCGAGACACTTCTCTTTGTAAGAGAAATGCATCGTACGAAACTAGAATCCCTACAGTGTGGAAATGGGCCATTTGGCCCAACGAGTCCACACTGACCCTTCAAAAACCCCACCCAGAACCATTTGCCTACCCTAACCCTGTAACCCTGCATTTCCCATGGCCGAACCACCTAACCTGCACATCTTTGGACTGTGGGCGGAAACCAGAGCACGCAGAGGAAACTTGTGCAGACACGGGGAGAATGTGCAAACTCCATACAGACTGAAGGTGGCATTGAACCGAGGCCTCTGGTGCTGTGAGGAAGCAGAGCTAACCACTGAGCTACTGTGCTGCCCTGTGCATATTCATTTTAACAGAAGATGAATAAGGAAGTTAAGCAGTTAAACATTAGCTTAATTTTCTAGATTACTGTATTCAATTCTTGACTATAAAACTCAAGAGCTGGCCCTAACCTCCCTGGATTTGGTGGCGGTTTTGCACACAAGCGGTTCTAGAATAGGCATTCCTAATCCAGCAAAAGGGTCATCAGGGCTGTGGAAATTGCCAATAGCGTTTAAAGGAATGTCTGGGTGGGCAAGGTAAACCAGGGTGCATGAGTATGGCACAGACATGGAGGTGTTATTCCCCACTCGATGCGAATGAACCGGACAGTAGATGGTTTGGATCTGGAAGGTCCAGCTTGATAGCGTCAGTGGATTCTGATTTGGATTATGTCCTTTTTTTTTAATCCAAAAAAAATTTGGATGATTGTCTAAGAAAATAAGGCCTACGATGGAAAGGTGGGATAAGTTGAGTTGCTACATCTGGAAATTGGCACTTAGGTATCAGATCAAATAGCTCTGTGTTGTAACCAGTCTATGATTGAGAATAATCACTGGCCTGCGATGTGGATTGTTTTAAAGGTGACTTTGGTCTAGCCACAACTGTACAGTATGAAGGAGAACGCAAGAAGACCTTATGTGGGACCCCCAACTACATTGCCCCAGAAGTAATTGGCAAGAAAGGGCATAGTTTTGAAGTTGATGTTTGGTCTCTGGGCTGTATTATGTGAGTATTTCATCATCTGCTGTTGGGTCATTTTTAATTTTAAAAAATGTGTTGTACTTGTCACTTTTTTTAACTCCTTGTTTTCTCTACCACCACTTGAAGGTACACACTACTTGTGGGGAAACCTCCATTTGAAACATCCTGTCTGAAAGAGACATACCTGAGGATAAAGAAAAATGAATATAATATTCCCAAGGTGTGTGAATTTTGTTACTATTATAGAAAAATTGTTTCAAAAATATCTGCAACATGAAAGCTCTTGTGTAAAATAAGGTTTGATGCACACTAACCACCACTGGATGGGAATCTTGTTGTTTTCTTTGATTGTAACCCCTACTCTCAGGCATACCCTTTTTTAAGTGATAAATTGAAAGAAAAATGAGTAACTGGCCAGTTCAATGACTGTTTCAATAATGAGTATGGCACCTTTATGAAATTCTATGCACGTTGCGCAGATTTATAGGCAGATGGGATAGTATCTTCTCGAATTCTAAAGATCTGTCCAACATTTTTCACAACCACGCTGCCTTCTGCCTAAAAAGGAACAGTTCAATGTATGGCTTCTCTTTTTTTCAATATTCTTTATTTAACTAATTAGCACTGGCCTCACTGTATTGGTCCCTCTTCATGTCCAAGCATCTGCTTGTCTTTGAGCATGATGCATTTTAAGTGCTAAAGCATCTACAGTGATCTTAGAACGATAACCTGCAATTAACTTCAATGTATTGAAGGAAGCAGCTCCACAAATATCCTCATCCACACTGATGAGAGAGACAGATTTAGTCACCCAGACACTACTAAAAATATGCCACTGATTATTACATAAAGTGGATGAGGTGAACAGCATACACTTTGAAGAGAAAGCCACAGCAGGCAAGTGGGGGGCGCAGAAATGTGTATAGCATTTCAAATGTGAAGCGGTTGGTCTGGATGGATTTAATGGTCTGTTTCAGTTCTAAAAATTCCATATTGCTTTTGTAACTATTAACTGATCTAATCCCTTTTCTAGCACATTAATCCTGTGGCTGCCAACCTCATACAGAGGATGCTTCGGTCAGATCCAAGTGCACGGCCCAACATCCATGAGCTGTTGAATGATGAGTTCTTTACATCTGGCTACCTGCCTGTCCGTTTGCCCACAACTTGCTTGACTATGGCTCCCCGATTTTCTCTGGCTCCTGGTGGGATTGATTCCAGTATGAGACGGCCACTCACTGAACTCAACAAAGGTATCATATGTTGAACGTTGCTGGTCCTTGACTTTTGATGTGTATGTAGCGTTGCATGAATTAGGAATTTTTCTGTGTGTAGAAGAAGAAGGATATAAATGGATTGGACAGATAAATGCCAGTTAGAATTTAACCATGAAAAGTATAAGGTGATATACATTTGGAAGAAGTAACAAGATGAGGGAGTACTCGATGAATGAATGGCAGGGCACCAGGAAGCTCGGAGGAATAGAAAAATCTTGGTGTGCTTGTCCACAGATCCCTGAAGCCAGCAGGACAAGTCAATAGGGTAGTTAAGGCATACAGGACCCTTGCCTTTATCATTCATGGCATAGATTATAACAGCAGGAAGGTTACGTTGGAACTATACAGGACTTTGGTTAGGCCACAGCTGGAGTAATGTGTACACTTCTGGTCACCATTGTACAGGAAAGATGTGAGAGATTCACCAAGATGTTGCTTGTTGTGGAGCATCTTCTGTATGAAGAGTGGCTACATAAGCTTAAGTTATTTTTCTTCGGGGCGGAAATGCCTGAGAATGGACCTGATTGAAGTTGTTAGATTTAGGGACATGAACAGAGTGGATAGAAAGCCGCTGCTCCTCTTAATGTGTCAGTAACAAGGAGGCATCATTTGTTATGAAGAGAGGTTGAGTAGATTAGGATTATTTACATTAGAAAGACTGAGGTTGAGGGGGGAGCTGATTGAGTTCTACAAAATCATGAGAGGTTTAGACAGGATGGATAGCAAGAAGCTTTTTCCCAGAGTGGGGGACTCCATTACTAGGGGTCACTATTTCAAGGTGAGAGGGGAAAAGCTCTTTACGCAGAGGGTGGTGGGTGCCTGGAACGTGTTGCCAGTGGAGGTGGTAGAGGCGGGCACAATAGCGTCATTTAAGATGTATCTAGACAGATACATGAATGGGCAGGGAGCAGAGGGATTCAGATCCTTGGAAAATAGGCGACTGGTTTAGATAGAGGATCTGGATCAGTGCAGGCTCGGAGGGCCGAAGGGCCTGTTCCTGTGCTGTAATTTTCTTTGTTCTTATGGTGAAAAGCAAATTTAGAGGGGATTTGAGGAAAGTAGTTTTCACCCGGAGAGTAGTGGGAATCTGGGATGCACTGCCTGGGAGGGTCTTAAAAAGTATTTGGATGAACATTTGAAATGTCATAATGTTCAAACCTATGAGCCAAGTCCGGCTTTTTTTTCTGTTTGTGTAGAATTGGGCTGAAGGGCCTCTTCTGTGCTATATGATTCTAAGCCTGGTCTGTCAAGTCAGTAAGGCCATGGTTCTGCTTTCCTGCTGCCCCCAAATATCCCTTTGAAAACTGGTGGATGCACTGGTTGTGATTGTCCAAAGTTCCGTTTATGCTAGGATTGTCCAGGTGATGGACATTTTGGCAAATGTAACACTGTTCAGGAAACATGCTGTGGGGGGAGAGAGACGGAGCTGCAGCCAGCAATCACAACACTAACAGCTGGGATCTGTTAGTAATGAAGTCTTTGAAGATCAGTCAAAAAGTAAACTATATTTTTACGAAGAAAATCAGTGTTTTGAAATTGTAATTAACATGGTAAATACAGGATATAGTATCAATTATAATAACCTTTTATGATGCCTTAAATTTATTACAAGGTAAGTGTTCACAGATGGGGCAGTAGAAATATTTGGATTGGTTAATGTGCAGTAGGGATAAATAAATTACTTAAAGTTGACAGACTGACTATTACAGGAATCAATAAGTAGCTATTTACAATCTGTATTAATATTTTGGATGAAGGGACAGAAATGTATCTAAGCTTTCAGACCATCAGCACTAGAATGAAATGTAAGCTGTCAGAATGATAGGCTGTAAAGACTTTCACACGTGAAATGAGTGGGCAACAAGGGTAACAGAATAGATGGTGCAGAATTATGAATTGTAGCCAACTTGTAATGCTCTCAATTCCACCACCAGTGACCATGAAATAAGCCATCCACTGTTGTGCAAGATGTAAAAGTCCAAATGGAAGGAATCTGTAATGATACTGTTCCTTGGTATTGAAGTGAGCCTAGTGGTTAGCACTGATGCCTCAATCTGCCAGGGACCCCGGTTTGATTCCAGCCTCAGTCAATTGTCTATGTGGAGTTTGCACATTCTCTCCATGTCTGCATGGGTTTCCTCCTAGGTGTTTCGGTTTCCTCACAGTCTAAAGGTGTGCAGGTTAGACTGTTTGTGCTAAATTGCCCATAGTGTCCAGGGATGTGCAGGCTAGGTGGTCAGTCATGGGAAATGCAGGGTTACAGGAATAGGGTAGCAGGGTGGGTCTGCACGGGATGCTGTTTGGAGGGTCGGTGTGGACTCCATTGGCTGAATGGCCTGCTTCAACACTGTAGGGATTCTGATTACTGTCTGATGACTTTACTTTGTTCATGATGTCGCCACTGCAGCTTCCAGTTACTCTATCTGTAGGATGATATGTCGGGTGTTGATATTTGACTGAAACTTCTGCACAATGAATATTATAACTCTCTCTGACTGAAAAGGTATTGGGAACAATTGTGTTAATGCCACATTCTAAAATATACAAACTACATTTCACTATTTGATTCTTTGGTTCCATTCTATCATGGCTTGTGTTTTAAAAAGCTTTCTGGAGCAAGTTCCTTCACAGCCAAGCAACTCTGGTAGTTAATAGGACAGGGTCAAGACTTTGAGTCCCATGTTGGAATTTTTTTTTCGTGGCTTTATTTCTATTGAACCCACATACATACTAGAATGCACAAACGTTGTTTTGTTTAGAGAGGTTTTCTTAAGTGCAGCACTGTTTTATGTTACTGAATTAACAGTTTTGTTTTAAACTGCACGCTGGTGTCTCCACTACATTTTTCATAATTCAGCAACAAAGCAAAGCTGTACTTTGATTTTAAAAGCCTCAATGTTAAATAAACATGCTGAGATTGACACTACATTCACAGGTGATGAAAGTGCTCCATGCAACTATTGTAGCACAAATCAGCAGCCATTCAGGGAAAGCATCACCAGTATTTTGAAGATGCTATGACTTATAGATAGTCCATAGAGTAATTGTCTACTGTCCCAAGCTGTAGAATTGCATTCTGATTGCATCAGTGATCACATTGTAATCTTAAAAATGGGGTTTGAAAGTGCTAAAAAATCAAAGTTTGAGGACATATAAGTTTCTGCCTCTTGAATTCATCTGCAATTTACCAGCATCATAATTCTGATCTTATCAGGGCAGTCCATTGGTAATTCACTTCCCTTAATGGTTTGAGATTCTAAATCATGTCTTTGAGTTATTGATCCTTCTAATGTTAATCCAATAGATGTTCCAGCTGGTGACAGACCAGGCAAGTCAGAAGATGATGGAGTAGCAAGGTAAATACTGCCCTTCTGAATTTGTGTTTTGCCTTCTGAACTGATTGTTTCATGCAAGTCAAAGGAAGTTTAAATTATGACAAGAGATTCAGATTTTTTTTAAACAATTCTTTGGACCTGTTGTATTTCAATATTGTGATGGAAATATCAGGTTTTTTTTTTAAATTCACTCATAGAATGTGGGCATTGCTGTCTGGGCCAGCACTTCTTGCCTGTCCCTGGCTCTCTCAGTAAGGTGGTAGCAAGCTGCTGCTGGGAACCACTTCAGTCTATGGACTATAGTAGACCTGCAGTGGTGTATTTCCAGAGTTTTGCCATTCTTTCACTGGAATTGGGTCAATGTGTTTCTAAGTCAAGATGGTGAGTGACTTGGAGAAGAAATAGTGGGTGATGGTGTTCTCCAGTTTCTACTGCTCTTGACCTTCTGGGTGGAAGTGGTCATAGATTTGGATGGTGCTGTCTAAGAATCTTTGAATTTCTACAGTGCATATCTCAAGGTGGCACACAGCTGCTACTGCGCATTGGTGATAGTTGGTGTTTTGGGGTGTCAGTCAAACAGACTACATTGTTCTGGGTGGTGTCGAGCTTCTTGTGTTGTTGGAAGTGCACTCATCCAGGCATATGGGGAGTTTGTCATCAGGCTCCTGTCTTGCAGATGGTGGACAGGCTTTGAGGGTACAATGAGTTGCTCACTGCAGGATTCCTAGCCAATGTATTTACATTTGCTATTTCAGTTCCATTTCTGGTCAATGGAATCCCTCAATGATGATAGTTGGGAATTCAGTGGTGATGCCAAGGGGTGATGGTTAGACCATCTCTTATTGAAGGTCGTCATTGCATGGTATGATTGATACTTGCCCTCTTATCAGCCTAAGTTCACTGCCAACCTAACCAATGGACTTGCTCCTATACCACTCATGCTACAGATATCCTGCTCAAATATAGGAAGGGAATTGAATGAAGGCTTAAAATGGTGCTTCCAGATAACAACATGCAATACTTTACAAATATCCTGAACTGCGGGTCACAGCTACTGTACTAGTCTAATCAAACCACAAGATCTGATCAAGAAAATCCCTGTTTTATATGGTGACATATTGCTTATTGTGACTTGGATTAAATAGCAAACAGCTGTGCACTGTGATTGCTTTATCTTCAAGCTTTGTTTGTTTATTGTGCAAGATGTTGAGAACCTCTCCCTAATTGTCCTTGAACTGATTTTCAGCGTTGTTTAACAGTCAATCACGTGTCTGAGAGACGAGAGTCACATGTCAGCCAGACTGAGTGAGAGATGAAGGCAGATTTCCTTCCCTAAACGATATCAGTGAACCAGATGGACTTTTTATAACAGTTGTTAGTAATGGTGACTGTGTTAAACTGAAGAGTAGCTTTAAATTCCAGAACATTAGTTTTTAACTAAACTAATTTATTTTCTACAGGGATGTAGGGGAATGCAATGATTTCTACCTCTCGGATCTATTGCAACAGTTAAGTAGTGTAGTAGCAGCAAGGCCAGCTGACAAAGCAGTCATCAGACAAGGTATGGAAACTGCCTTCTAGGGGTAGCTCCTGAAAATTGTTTTATTTTCTAATGCAATTTGGGCCACCTTTTGACCTGGAGTAATGGAGAAAGATTACAGTCTGAACAATTAATCTCACATTTAAATGGCAAATGGAACAGTGTGGGATGATGTCATTTTGTTAAATTTTTTTGTACGTTTCTGAAAAATACTGCCTATTAGTTTAATAAATTACTTAAATTGCTAAATCCATTCAACTAATCACTGTCCTTTTGTGGATGAGTAATCATAATATAAGCAGGAGGTCTTGTCTTGCAGTTATTAGTGTCACTGCCTCTGAGCTGGTAGCTCCATTCCTGTCCAGCTCTAGGACTTGATGGTCCTGCAAGCTCTCTTCATAATTGATTGTATTTCCCCACACTGTCAACTTGTAAAGCTTGCCAATGCGCCTCAGACAGGTGGTATAGGCATAAAATTCCCCGGTCAGCAACAATTTGTGGTGTGGTACCCCTCAAACTGACTTCTCCTGACCTGTTTCAGGAGAAAAGTAGCTAAGGAAATGGGCAAGTGCTTTATCTGCCTCCAGAGCTATTGGGGGAACAAAATAATGAATTGTTCTCTGTTATTGAAAAAGCTTCTTTTGAAGAAAAACACACAACTTTATTTAAAGAGTTGAGGTAACTTCAATGTGTTGACCCTACCACTAGAAGAACCTTTTTAATTTCCCCCTCCCCATCTTTGTTTGTCTGAGTTTTCTCAATTAAACTTGTATGTATGTGGGATTTACCAATTTTTCTCTTTCTCCACCACCAAACCCCCCCCCCCACT